GCCACGGTCGAGATTCCCCACATGCACTACGGCTTGAGACACGTCAGCTTGCAGTATACACACTTTATTACGGTATTGGAAGAAATATCATGGCTTCTGTGCGAGATATTTTGGTTTCATGTCGGAAACTGACGAATAATTAACACTATTTTGTAGATATTATGCATCTCTATTTTCCATACTATGATTGTTAGAAGGTGGTAAAGTCCTGATAAAAGTCTTTGGTTTGAACCACGACGTGCTATGCGGAAGATCTAATCGTTTATAGTAAAATATCATATATTTGCAGTTAGGAACCGGAATAGCGCAGTCGATGTAGTGACTGGCTACGGGGNACCACGACGTGCTATGAGTCTCATTACATGAGATCTAATCGTTTATAGTAAAATATCATATATTTGAAGTTAGGAACCGGAATAGAGCAGTCGATGTAGTGACTGGCTAAGGGGCTCGTTGACTGAGGAATCGGGGAACGAGTCCCGATAGAGTCAAGAATTTTCTCATCTTCACGTAGTCCCGACTGGTTCTGGGGCTCACCCAGCCTCTTTTCTAGCTGGTACCGGGGGTTAAGTGGCAGTGGCGTGAAGCTGACCAATCAACTTCACCTAGTGCCGAGGTCAAGAAAACGTGGATCTGTACATCCACTCCCCCATATGCCTTCATTGCGTAGTGCTTAATTAGTTAAGCACAGGGACAACTTCACTTTTACCCTTAACTTTACCTGTCATGTTACGTATAGGCAGCATATTAGAGATAAATTATTTCTTGAACGTAATATGTCATCCCCCTCAACCCAAAAATTAGATCTAACAGTAACGATTTCTTTCAGTAGACGTACTCGATAGGCGACTCTTTTATGGTTGGACAGTCAATGCGATTAAGAAAAAATCACGTAAAAAATGTTGCATGTTTCATTCAACTTCCGTTTTGGTTTATGTTAAGAGTACGTATATAACAAAATTGTCTTTTTATGAGAAAGTTCACGAAATGACGAATTCAGCAGTAGATAAATACGACAACGGAACTTATTGGTAGGTTTTGTTTACTGTCTCCTTTTTATTTACATCCTTTTTTTTCTTGGCACTACAGCCCCAGTGGGCCTAGGCCTACCTCCATGAACTTCTCCGTTCACTTCGGTTTTTCTAGATCTTACACATTCGGTAGGATTCCTTGGGCAGGTGATCAGCTTGTCACAAGGCCTCTACCTGTACACAAACACAGAAAAACGCACACACACAAACTAAACATCCATGCCCTGAGTGGGATTCGAACCCACGATCCCGGTTTTCAAGCGATCGAAGACAGTACATGCTTTAGACCGCTCGTCTACCGTGACCGGCTCATTTACATCTTGTATACCGTAAATTAAATGCTTTCGATGCACGATTGTTAGCTTAGGCTGCATCTGCAGCAGAGACATGTAACGTGTGGCAAGATGTGAAGACCCGACGTGCACCACGATTAAACTCGTTTGAGAACCGTGTATTGTAAGCTGCCAGTGTTGCCCGAGCGGGAACGTGACTTACAGTTGCAACTGGATTGCAGAGTTTCCTGCAAGAAGTTTAAAAATTCCTCTCGCGTGGCGCTTGTATCTTTTTTTATTGCTAGTGTAATGGGACTAAATGTCCCTTGTACTGTGACCACTTCTGGCCCATTGTACCAGCCCCAGATGATAGATGAGGGTGATTGTGGAGCAACTGGTGGAATGAAGATTGGCAGGGGAAACCGAAGTACTCGGAGAAAACCTACTCCAGCGCCACTATGTCCACCACAAATCCCACTTGGCCAGAGCCGGGATCGAAGCCGGGCCGCCGCGAAGGGAAGCCAGCGACCAAGCGCTTGAGCTATAGCGCTGCCCATGGCGCTTGTAAGTTGGAGCCATGAGGATGGGTGACGAAGCAGAGACTAGCGTGAATCTGGTGCAAAGTGTGCATCAAGAACATTACGCAAATAATAGCGAAAAAGGGCGTGAAATTTGAAGAATAATAGAATTATCATGTACCTAGTCAATATAATTTGAATAACATAGTGCTTCGCGTAAAGAAACGTATATTTTGAATAATTTACAAGTAGCATAAATTGTAAGAAGATAAAAAGATTAAGCTAAAGTAGTTATTGTAATTAAGAAGTAAGAAGGTAATTAACTATCACGACAAACGACGTATGGTGGATTGGAGACACAGTTCCACCATCCTTTATCTCGACACTAGATGGTGATGACCTTCACGCCCCGTCCGCTTTACCCCCGAAGAAGGAATTCTGTGCACTCTTTGCATATGAGGCTGGCTAAGCACCGGAACAGGTTTGAGCAGTGTGTAGAGAGAAAAATCTCTTTCCCCTACCGCTAATCGAACCCCGGCCATTGAATTAAAAGGCAAGCCTTTGTAAAAAGTGGCAACGGTCAATCCTAATTACTAGCGTGTAAGTTTTATACTCTGTTTGCCTTCCTGCTTTTTGCTGGTTTCTTGCTTAGTTTGCTCTTCAAGCCCAAAGATGGAGGCGATATGTTCGCTGGAAAAGTTGTTTGACCTTCACTGGAAACGTTGCTTGACCTTCACTGGAATAGTTGCTTCCCCCTCACCAGATACGTTGCTTCACCTTCACTGGAAACGTTGCTTCGTCCTCACTGGATACGTTGCTTCACCTTCACTGGAAACGTTGCTTCACCCTCACTGGATACGTTGCTTCACCTTTTCACTGGAAACGTTGCTTCACCCTCGCTGGATACGTTGCTTCACCTTCACTGGAAACGTTGCTTGACCTTCACTGGAATCGTTGCTTCACCTTCACTGGAAATGTTGCGGCGTTATATTACAGAAGATAAAAATTCCTAAATCTCACTGGATGTATGGAAAGGAATTTTTGTTTCCGACCGTACAGAACATGTGGAAACAAGAAATATTTCGAAAATGCCCTACTTGATTACATCAGTATGAACTTATGTTTTCTCATGCCGGAAAACAGGGTTTCTTCCATGAGAGCTACCGAAGAGTTTCTGTCCGCTTAATTGTGCAGTAATTAGATACTGAAAATTTATATGAAGAAGACCGCTCTTATTTCACTCAGATGCTGATCACAAGCTAAAGGATCGAGAAATGAAAACAAAGGTTCTTTTTGCATCTTAGAATTGCCAACCCAATTGTCTAACTGGGATTGCTCACCTAATAGCTTCAAGTTGCACTTAACTTATGAAATTTGTGTTTTTATACTTTATCAATACTCGTACATAATGCTGAAACTTAGATATTAAGATATGGACAATTTTGAATAGGCGTCTGCCATGGTAGTGTCTACCAAACCCAAGTATAGACGCTGTTTTATATTTGTTAAAATATTCACTTTTTTCAGACCTTAACAGGTAACTAATCCCTTCAGTTTGGAGTACACATTTTTCATGAATGATTTGTTTACGATTCTACGTAGCTCATTCTCTGTGACATATTCAGCAGACAAACGTGCTCTAAAACCAATTACAATAGATGTTAAAATACTAAATAGAGCCATAATTTTATTTCGTGTTTTCCTTTAAATTTTTGACCGGGTATCCCACTTAAAATAGTGGATAGATTATATACGTATCCAGGACAGCCTGCCATTGATCTTCTCTCCCAGCCAGCTGAATCTAATCCGCATTCTCACAGATCCCACAATTCGTAACACCCAATCTCAATACTATTTTCCCATCTAGACTTAGGTCTTCAAAGTAAATTTGTTTATTCTCGTTATTAGAAAATGTAAGCTGTTCTCATTATTCCCGTGTCTGTTGCCTGCCTCAGCCCTTATTGTCCTCCTTCAGTCGGTTAGCACAATAATGTCTGACGAAGGTACAAATTACAAAGTCCCTCGTTATGGAACTTTCTGAAACATGGGTATTGTGACATGTTGAGCTGTGGATGACGCCCCTCCCCCCGCCAGCCGTGATGCGCCGAGCGAAGCCGAAGCGAGCCGAAGTTAGCCGAGTCCTAGCATCCTGGTCGCTATGCAAAGCGAGTCAACAGCGATGACGTCACCAAGGGTACCGCGGGTTGCTAGGCAGCGCGGGGAAACAGGATTGCGAGAGACGACGGTGGTAACAGCGGTTACTACAGCTAGCGTTGCTAGCAACACAGCGCCAGGCAACAAGGGTGCTTATTACGTGGCCGTTTTCTGTATTGTCCGATCGAGGCTAGATGAGGAGCAGCGAAGGCTATTCACAGTTAGTCCTCGAGCTACCTCCGAGTTAGTTCCGAGTTAGCCAGCAACTAGTCAGTTGTATTCTGGCATTTGGAGTGTACTATTTGTGATACTGCAGATAGCAGTAATCGTAAATCTGTAATTTGGGTGATTGTAAGAGCGAATGTGAAATAAAATTCGCTATATAAAATAAGGCGTGAAGTTATTTGTCGCGATAGACGCCCAATACGTGACAGTATTATGAGTTAAAAACTTCGATAATGAACCTGTTAATGGACATGATCCCGAGCCAATTCCACTCCTGTTCCACCCACCAAATAATTGTTTTAATATCCGTCTTAATGCTACCCTTCCAGTTCTTCTGTGTTCCAAACCCTCGCTTTCCAAGTCATTATCCAATGCAAATGTTGCCGAGTTACAAAAGCATTCAGAATGATCTTCCCACCACTTCTTGATTTCAGTGCACTAAGTGATCTATCGTACGCTATAGATCATGGAGATTCTCTTAAATTTCATTGCACATTTCCAACGTTTCCGGTTTCAAATTATTCTTCTGAAAAAATTATAATTGAAAAAGTATGGTTTATACTCGCCCTTAAAATGAGAAGCCGCATGTCACAGTGGTGAAAAATCTACTAATTAGTATCTATATATTAGACCTTAAGTACATTATAATTGATGTACATCTTTGGGAGTGGAAATGAAGAAAATCTCTTGTACATGTAACATAAATCCCACAATTGGCTAAAATATATTTATACAACCATACTCAAAGTAATACAAAATACATCTGTGTATCATACATGTTATATTTAAGGTGTCGTCTAACATGCTTCTATAGCTTCATTTAGTAACGCAATATAAATTAACTGTGTTATATTTTAAACCTAAAGTAATCATTACAATACATTGTCATTCATGTATACTAATTGTATATGAAATTATGAAAATATGTTTTTTATTTTGCTTCAGTGAAGGTCTGCCATAGCCCAATTAGATAATATCTACAGACAATACAAAATGTACTGAGGTTATGTGTACAAAAAATATGAGAGTTTCATCAGAGTTCAGCAGTCACACATGTCTTAATTCTTAAAGATGAAAATAATTTGTTACCCCGCATTATGGTTCAATCTTCTTGTCCTAAATGCAGTGGTTTAGTGATGCCCAAAACTAATTCCTCCGTGGCTGAAACTCGAGCCTCCATAACTAGAAAATCCATGTTCGATTTCCCCGAAATCGGAGCCACCGAAACTCTCATGACCCTTAAATAACACAGGGATTTTCTTTTCTACAATTACAGGCTTAGGTACAGGGACAGCTACAACCTTGGGAACATGTATAGGGACTGGGTGAGGGACAGGAACCTTAACGGGGACGCTGACTGGATAAGGTACGGGCTTCTCCACAGGGACTGGGTATGGTTGAGGGACGTGCACGGGATAGGGTCTGTCTACAGGAACGGCTACAGGAACTTTGACAGGGACTGGATAGGGTTGTGGAACTGGAACTTTGACTTCCTTCGTTATTGTGATAGCCTTCACTTCACCATGTGCCACCGAGATCCCTCCAAGTCCGTGGTCACCGACGCCGAAACTTCCATGGTCACCTATGTCGAAACCACTGGAGCCGTAACCCAGACCGAAGACGCCTCGTTTTTCCGTCTTCGTGTCTTTCTTCTTTTCCTCTTCCGCTGATACCAAAGCGGAAAGGAGGAGGAGACAACAGACCTAGTGCAAGGAATGTTACCTTGGTAACAAAGAGAGATGTACTTACTATTGTAGGCCTGTATAATATTGCTGCGTGCCGCCAGATAGCGATACTACGAAACATTTGACTTTGATTCAGTGCTTACTTCCAGCCGCTATAAGTTAATCTACATTCGTCTACCAATATTTTGTAATCGATCTTTGACGAATGTGCTATTTTCTTTGATACCTGATTCAAGAATGATTTAAAAAAATAACATGAAAATGCCACTGTTCATTTTGATATTGTACAAATCATTGTTGCTTGATATGTGAAGTTTTGATGTGATAATATATCATGAATATATTTACATGTCTTATACAGTAGAATTTTTATATATTAAAAATTATAAATGCATTGCGATACTATAAAATTATTACCGTTAATTTTAAGGCTTCAGACTGTGAAATGATAATATAAACTACAACATTACACAAATTTATGTCTTATGATTTTGTAGTTATGTAACTATTGCTACCTATTGAATTCATGTAAGCCTGACTATGTAAAGCTAACGATACATCATGCGTTCTTTCTGGATCTGTTGACATCTGACCTCACCGCTCAGGTGCTCTTTTACAGAAATTACTTAATCTGAATTTCTTGAATTGAATTGACATTATATATATATATATATATATATCTCAAAGATTACTTCACACTTTAGTTTATACACGTATTTTTCGTAACCAATCAAGTATACTCTATAGTTCCTAAGAGCATGCGCACGACAGTCGTAAGCAGCAAACCAGAAGTTCCATTCTGCTTATATTCGGTGTTTATTATAATTTATATTTAGGAGAAAGTGATTATGTTAGTAAAATGTCTATGAGACGTTTCTTTTCTTTGCTATTATTATTATCGTTATTATTTCTTTATATACATAAACATCACATTAAACCGATTAGAAGTACAGGAATAAATATGTTTTATATTGAGATCAATATTTTAAAAATCTAATTGTCACGTCGATAACCTCTTGCTCTGTAAGTTGCATGGCTCAAACGCCACAAATTTTGAAACTTTTTGGGAAATGTCAGTAACAAAATGACTTGTGCTGATGGGTATCTCAGCACTAAGTCAGCTGATGACTTTCGTTTCATTTATTAATGGCATCACTAAAATTACTTACAATAATAATAATAATAACAACAACAATAATAGTAATAATGACCTCCGTATTAATTACATTTCAGTATTATCCTGTGCTTAAATCAAGATTCTCAGTATAATAGTATGCACTGAATAAACTATAATACAGTAAGCCTAAATAATTTAATAAATCCTTCAATCAAATAACTGAACAAAACAAATGTAAAATTATCCTTGAAAGGCTGACAGTAGCTCATAAAATAATTCATTCTTTTAATGGAACCCAAATTCTCATAGCCTTGTTCACAAGATCATGTAACTGGTCCTTAGCCTGCTCTATTTTAATATTACAAATATGAAACACTACGTCCAATGTGACCTGTAAGTTTGTTACTACATGAATAACTTAACACCCTTACATGTTTCGGTCTCTGCGGACCATCTTCAGAGGGCAAACATCACTACGAATAGGAAACCACCTCAAACATACATATATATTGTAACGTGTTTCGTGTGTCACGCTACAAATAGATTCACGTAGGCCTCAGATTAAGTAGAACCTTTATTGTTCTTCCGCTTACACAATCACGAGTACAACTACTATTCACTGTGACACCTCGACTATCCTCTGCGACACTCTACTTCGAAGGCTGGATAAAGGCTAGCTAGTATGAACATTGAAATAGTAAAATACCCATAATATATTTGCAGAACCTCCATATCAAGATAGCCGGTGGCACAATATCTGCCCCATATAAGAGGGACGATGGGAGGACGAACACGAGCCTGCATGGTTTATGAATTTTAATTATTGACAATGCAAAATTTTTAATTAGCATCAAGAAATTTTAAATAATTTATA